ATTACAGTTTCATTTTGGGAAGATAAGTGCAATTCCTCTGGCCTTTTTCATTAACAGCATTGTGTCTTTATATCGGGAGGTGCTCATGTAAATAAAGATTTTTAGTTATGCTGGAAATACATATTTTAAGGCAAAAAAAGGAAAACTGATGGCTTATAATTGTCTGAAAAGTTAGCAATTCTTCTAAGTGCCTGTTGTGATAGAATGGGTGGCGTCTTGTACAGGCTGAAAACTTGGAGGTATGATGTAGGGCTTCTGATTTCAAATCTGTACAGTGGCTTTTCTGCAGAGCTGTTGTGAAAACTGAATGGAGAGGAGGGAGCAAGGTTGATTTTTTTTTTTCTTTTTTTTTTTTTTTTATTGAAGGAGCCTTGCCATATAAAAAGAGCTCTAAGCGGAAATCCTGTCCCATTCATGCTGTCCTTTATGAGTTTCAGTCTGAGTCACTTCCTTCTTATACACTCAGTGGTTCACTTCTTGGTCATGTAGTGATCTTGTAGTTTGAGATGTTTTGTGTGTGGCTGCAAGTACTGTGGGAACATAAGCAGTTTTGAGCATTCTGACAATACTTTTGCTAATAAAACATCTTTTTTCCTTCAAATGAGATTAAAATTTTTATTTTTTTTTTTTTTTAAATCCGTATTGAAGTTTGAAGAACCTAAGATAGCCAAAGCTAAAACAGTTGAAATGGGTAAAAGTAGAAAGCAGCAGATGGATAGTTATGTGCATCCTGTCCAGGATCTGGGTGGGTGCTGCATTGCTGATGGACGTTTCTCAGGAGATGTGGCTAGCTCTGTGTGCTCATTTGTTTGAAGTGAATGGTTCAAGAATACATGGAAAATTGGCATAGCAACAGGACGTTTTAACTATGGTGGTTTTAATTTAAAGATGTTTAAGAAATATTAAACTCTAAAACCAGGAGTTCTGAAATGAAGAAGTAAATCTGACTGGTATGGCTAGCCTGGGCTGATGCTAGCAAGAACTGGTACCGGCAAGTATCCCTGAGCTGTGTGGGGTTTGCTCTGCAAGTTGCTGGTACATGACATAGAGTGTGTGACAATGTATGAAAAAGAGAGCTGGCACTTTCTTGATACAGCCTTATCCTACTCTCTCTCTCTTTTTTTTTTTTTTTTTTTTAATAACATTTAAATATATTTAGGAAAAGTGAGGTAGAGCCCTATTCTTGTTTTTCAATTGAATCAAGTTGTTTTGGTTTGTTGGTTTGGTTTTTTGTTAAGTGTTTTTTGGTTGGTTTTTTTGGTTTTTTTGGTTGTTTTTTTTAATCCAGAGCCTGTGAATTAAAGGGAAATTGAAGGAGCTGTGATTCAATGCAGACAGGAACCAGGCGAAGTTCCTCTACTTACTCATTCTAGATCCTGTCAATTCTTTTCTATTTTGGTCCTGAATCTGTTTTGAAACCTTATTGGGTGATGTATTATGTATGTGTGTACATTTTATCCTATAGATTTAAAAACTTAAAAGACCAATTTCATCACATCTGGTCCATGTATG